TTCTTTTTTGGAAGAAAAAGAACTATGAATTCAATTTCTTCAGTGTTTGTAAGACTATTCAGGTCATCTGTTGCATCTTGGGTGACTTTTGGAACATATGATTTTTGAGGAGTTGGTACATTTAATCTGTTAACTTTTTGTGTGTAGAGTTTCCCTTCAGGCCATGAAATCATTGAAAGGTTAATAAGGGTTCCGCAGAAACAGGATTTTTAAAATGTTAATAAGGGAGTTCTCCTAATAACCTTTTAATGATGTCAGGGCCTGACGTTACGTTCCTCCCATGCCTCATGTTGGTAACTTGTGTCTTCTCTTTCTTTTTTCTTTGTTATTCTTTCTAGAGGTTTATCTGTTTTATGGCTCTTTTTTCAAAGAAGTCACTTTTGGATACATTGATTTTTCTTTATTGTTTTTCTGTTTTCAGTTTCTCCGATTTTTGTTGTTTTCTTCTGCTTGATTCTGGCTTTTCTCTTTTTCTAGTTGCTTAAGGTGAAGCTTTAGTTATTGATTTGAGGCCTCTCCTCTTTGTAATATGTACATTTAATGATGTACATTGCCCTTAAGCATTGCTGTAGCTGCATCGCCAAATTTTGATATATATTTATTTTCATTTAGTTCAAAATATCTTAAATGTTCCTTAAGACTTCCTCTTTGACTTGTGAATTATTTAGAAATATGGCACCTATTTTCCAAATATTTGGATATTTTTCCATTATCATTATGCTATTGGCTTCTAGTTAAAGCCCATTACAGTCAGAAGACATACTTGGTATATTTCAGTTCTTTTAAATTTGTTAAGTTGTGTTTTGTGGCCCAGAATGTGGTTTCTTTTGAAGAATGTTCTGGTGTACTTGAAAAGAGTATATATTCTTCCCCGGGTACGGTGGCTCACACTTGTAATCCCAACACTTTGGGAGGCCAAGGCAGGAGAATCACTTGAGCCCAGGAGTTTGAGCCCAGCCTGGGCAACATGGTGAGACCCACATCTCTACAAAAAGTTTAAAAAAAAATTAGCTGGGCATGGTGTTACATGCCTTTTGTCCCAGCTACTCAGGAGGCTTAGGTGGGAGGATCACTGAACCTGGGAGTTTGAGGCTGCAGTGAGCTATGATCACACCACTGCACTCCAGCCTGGGGAACAGCAAGAGTGTGTGTCCTTGTTTTCGTAAATGTCTGTTCTGTTAATTAGATGAAGATGTTTGATAGTGTTGTTCAGTTCTTCCATATCCTTGCTGATTTCCTCACCACGTGTTCTCTTACAAAGTGAGGGGTTGAATTTTCCAACTGTAACTGCCTGTTTCTGCTTTCAGTTTTTTGCTTCATATACTTTGAAAGTCTGTTGTTTGGTACATTCACATTTATAAATGATTGTGTCTTAAACATTGAATACTTATGGTAATGCTGTGCATTTAATACTTATGGTAATGCTGTGTGCTCTAAGTTTACTTTGATGTTAATGTAGCTGTTTTAATTTTTCTTGATTGGTGTTTGCCTGGTATATACTGTTCTGTCTCTGCTTTCAACTTACCTGTATAATTGTATTTGAAGAAAGTTTCTTATAAACAGCATACCGTTGGGTTATGTGTGGTTTTTTAATCCAGCCTGACAAGCTTTGTAATTGGTATGTTTAGACCATTTACATTTAATGTAATTATTGGTATGCTGGAATTTAAGCCTCCCGTTTTACTGTTTGTTTACTGTTGTTTCCTGAGGGTTTTATTGCTTGACTTTGACTATCTTTGAGGTCATTTTTTTCTTATTCTGTTTTATTTTGTCTCTTAAGTTTTTGACCATAAATGCTTTGCATCGTTTTTTTAGTAATAGTTCCAGGGAATAAAATATACAGACTTCGTTTTTCACAGACTGTGTAGAACCAACATTTTCACAGCTCCAGAAGACTGTGGAGCCACATCCCGGCCTCCGTATCGGTTACTGACCCCTCTGCCTTTATGTGGTAGTCCTCATAATTCCTGTATTTGTTGTAAACTCCATTCAACAAAATGGTAATTTTTGCTTTCAACAGTCAAAAACATTTTAGAGAACTTGAGAAGAAAGGAACTCAGCTTCATTCATCCGAGTATTTCCCACTTCTGCTGCTTGCCTTTATTTCCAATGTTCCAAGTCTCCTTCTGATACCCGTGTCTTTCTGTCCTAAGGACATTCTGTAGGAATTCTTTAGATCAGATCTGCTTGCAACAAATAATCTTATTTTTATTCATCTAAGAATTTCTTGATTTTATCTTCCTTCCTGAAGGATATTTTTATTGGATTAGGAATTCTGTGTTAATTGTTTTCTCTCAGCTTTTTAAAAATATGACTCTTGGCCCATTGCAGTGGCCCCCGCCTGTAATCCCTGCACTTTGGGAGGCCGAGGGGGCAGATCACCTGAGGTCAAGAATTGGAGACCAGTGTGACCACCATGGGGAAACTCCATGTCTACTAAAAATACAAAAATTAACCAGGCTTGGCGGAATGCACCTATAATCCCAGCTACTTGGGAGGCTACCAGGAGGTTGTAGTGAGCCAAGATCATGCCATTGCACTCCAGTCTGAGCAACAGAGTAAGTCTCTGGCTCAAAAAATAATAATAATAAAAATACGACCCTGCTTCTTTCTGGCCTCCATTGTTTCCATGGAGAAACCAGTGGTCGCGGGAGCTGTTGTTCCTGTCCAGGCGCCAGTGACTGGATGACGATGTGTCTGTACTTGTACACTCTTTGCTTTGTTCTGTTTGGGATTTTCTCAGCGTCTTTAATTTATAGGCTTGTGTTTTCACCAAATTTTGGATTTTTAGCCCAAGTTTGTCACATGCCTTCCTGCACCTGAGTCTCATCTTTTCTTCTGTTACTCCAGTAGCGTGAGTGCTAGCCCTCTGCATGCTCACGTTCCTGGTCGTTTTGCTCTGTCGTTCAGGTTGGGCATTTCTATTGCTCTGTCTTCACGCTGTCAGAGTCATTCTGCCATTGAGCCAATCCAGTGACATTTTTTTATTTCTGTATTTTTCAGTTTTAAAATTTTCGTTTGGTTCTGCTTTGTATCTGTTATTTCTTGGTTGAGACTTTCTATTTTTCCATGTATGTGCAAACGTTTGCCCTTACTATTTCCTTTTCTTTGGTGAGGGGGACACCCTGTCACCCAGGCTGGAGTGCAGTGGCGCTCTCTCATCTCACTGCAACCTCCACTCCAAGCTGTCCTCCCACCTCCGCCTCCCAAGTAGCTGGGACTACAGGCATGTACCAACACACATGGCTAATTTTTGTCTTTTTTGTAGAGACAGGGTTTTGCCATTTTGCCCAGGCTGGCTCAAACCCCTGAGCTCAGGTGATGTGCCCACCTTGGCCTCCCCCAGTGCGCCCTCAGTTCTGGAGCATTTTTATAATAGAGCTTGCAGGTGTTTTTCAGGTAACTCCAATCATTGTGCTGTCTCCGTGCTGTCGTGTTCTTTTTCCATATGAGTTGATATTTTCCTGGTTTTCCCATGTTGAGTAACTTTGTATTGTACCCTGGACATTCGTAATGTTAGGGGTGAGATTCTTGGTCTTACTTACCTTCAATGAAGATGTGGATGTGTTTGTTTTACTGTGACTTGGTTGGCATAACTCCGTAAAGTCTGACCTCCTTCCCTGGGACTGGTTTCAATGTCATTTTATTTTTAGGGCCTTGGCCTTGCTCTCTGTACGTCCCACGAGTGTGCTCACCAGTAGCAGTCTGACCACGGCAGTGGAGCAGATGAAGGACAGCAGTGGAAAATCTCATGAAATCCAAATTAAGTCCGTGGTTTCCTTTGAAAAAACAAACACGAGCCTGTGAGCAGGCAGGAGTGAGGCTGGGCACCGCACGGAAAGCCCGTCACTGCGTGAGGCAGGCGTTGCATGCCCTGTGCATGGCGTCCGCGCCTCCTGGAGGAGCCCAGGTACCGGGTTAGCAGCAGGTGACACAGTCGGCCGGGGCTGCCGTGGAGGAGGCAGTGTTGGCCCAGGGGCATGTCAGCTGCCTTTCTGCGCATGGGATCAGTGTGTTCTGCGGCTTCACAGCCTCTGCCTTGGCCCCTGCCTTTTTGAAGTCCATTCCAGATGGCAGGTGATGAGCCTCAGTGAGACCCTGCACATCCCTGACCTCCTGGGTCACAGCCAGACGCCGTCACAGTTGAGAAGGGTGAGGGTCATGGAGCTGGCAGCTGCCCACCTGAAGGGCTAGAGGGTTCCTTCTCTGCCCTCCCCAGATCCTCCTGACCGTTGAGCTAAGGGCTTGGCTGGTGTCTTCACAGACCCACCACGTCCAGGGCCTCCCACATGCTCATGCCACCTGCTCCTGATGTGCAGGGAGCCCCAGCCCAGGCTCATGTAACCCAGCCTCCCTCCTGCCTTCTCCACGGTCACCATAGAAGAACACCACGGCTGTGCTTCCTGGGGCCACAGCAGTGCCCACATGTCTAACAAGGACCTCCAGGGACCCTCCACCCTTGGGCCCCACCTTCCCTCCCAGGAGTCTTCCCTCCTGTAATTGGTCACTCTGCCATGTGGAGGGTGCTGCCCACTCCGAGCTGCCCCAGCCCCTGAGGGCGAGGTGTGCACAGATGCCCGCTGCTGTGCTCCCTGGTTTGAGAAACACCCTGAAGATGGGATTTGAGCACAGGTTTTAGAAGTGGACAGGCTGCCTGAATCCAGCCCAGGCCCCAAGTGCTGAGGGAGGTTCCAGTCACATGCTGGAGTCTAGAGGATGGGGTAGCTGTTCTGGGACGAGCGAAAGGACACCCAGCTCCCTCGGTGTCCACCACCTTACCTCTCGGGGGTAAGGCCTGGCCAGGGCACCAGGGCCTGCGCCAAGGGTGGCGGAATGCTTAGCTCGGGGCGGCTGGCCTCTACCTGTCGAAAGCTGCATTTTCCAAATGTTCCAACAAAATGCTCAGTTCCAGAAAGCACGTGGCCCTGGATGGGCAGGCTGGCAACGCCAGTGCCAGGTGGTGTGCTGGCTCTGACCTGCACGTGCGTCATCTTCCACAGGTGACCCCAGGGTTTGAAGAGAAGGACGGGGAGCTGCTGGTGAGGGGACCCTCCGTGTTTCGAGAATACTGGAATAAACCAGAAGAAACTAAAAGCGCATTCACCGGGGATGGCTGGTTCAAGACAGGTAGGATCCAGCCCCGCGGACGTGGAGGAGACCCTGGGGAGGGGGAGGGGGCAGGCAAGAGCACGCCTTGCCCAGGTTCAGTGACACCAAGGCTGGGAATTCCAGAACTTTCAGCCAAAGGCAGAAGACGGGGGTGGTGCGGGTAGGGCTGGGGGCTGCTGTTCCGGTGCTGCACCCTCTGAGCACCTGGCCTCTAGAGCAGGGTCCATGGCCTCGTCCATCAGTCCCTCGGTGCCCCGAGACAAGGCACTGTCCCTCAGCGTGGCAGCCACCCCGGCAAGTACATATCCTGACCACAGACGCTGGACCCCACACACCCCTTCCTGTGGCCCCTCTGCCTATCATGGGCCGGGGTGCCCTCCACCTCCCAAGTGTACCCCTGCACCCAGAGACCTTGTCACCCCCACACCCAGCCGCCGTCATGCCCTGCACACCTTCCTCTCGCACTGGGGTCCTCAGTCACCTGCTACAGTGTGGTAGGTTTGCGGTGTGGCTGTTCCTTTACCGTTCTACAGTTAGCGCACTCTCCGCCTGCCGGAACAGGCCTGTGGGGGAGCGGGAACCTGCCCGCCAGAGCCAGATCGAGGTGGCCCGGGAACCCTGTGGCAGTCAGCCGAGACGGCAGCGCCCACTGCCACCCTCATGCTCTCTCTGAGCCTGCCCTGAACCTCTGCCTGCCCCACCCCCTCCTTTGTGAGAAGCCAACTTGGTCCAGGATCCCGCGTCCCGCCCCATGGGGCATGTTGGGACATTTGGATAGTGGACATATTTGGGTGTGCAGGTGCAGGTGTTCACAGGTAGTGGATTTATCCGGAAGATCTGCACGGGAACTTTGTTCCTGAACTCTGGGTGTGAGATGGTGCTTTATTTTGTGCTGAACATCATTATATTATAATACTCTGAAATAATATATTCCAAAAAGAGAGGCCCATTTTCACACATCAGAATCTCCTGGCCCAAAATCAGAAACACGCCTGCCCCATGTCCTTCCACAGAGAGCAGAGGTCGGGGGACACAGTGTGCAGGCAGGAGGGGCTCCTGGAGGGGAGCGCGGGGGATGGGCTCCTGGAGGGGAGCTGGGAGGGAGGAGAGCGTGGGGGAGGGGCTCCTGGAGGGGAGCGCGGGGGAGGGGCTCCTGAAGGGTGCTGGGAGGGAGGAGAGCGCAGGGGATGGGCTCCTGGAGGGGTGCTGGATGATGCAGTGTTCTCTGCAGCCTCACTGCCTTGTGGCCTGATCTGTGGCTCCCGGAGGCTCAGGAGCGTGTGCTGCTGTGAGGCAGGCGTGCTAGGTCTGTGGTCTTTGAGCACGTTTGCAAAGTGAAGATTTTGTGAGCCCCTATAGCAGAGGCCAGTGCCCTACGCAGCATCCCACAGGCTCCCCAAGGGACCCCGGGAGGCACCTTTGTGGCTGGGCATCAGCAGAGGACCCAGGGCTGGACCTAGAGGCCTGTCTGCGACAGGACGTGGCCGGCACAGTCAGCCCTCCCACCTGGCTTGTCGTTTGTGTACATCCCAGGATGCAAGCGGGTCCAGGGACTAAGCCTGTCCCTGACTTCCCTTCAGATTGGGAATTCCAGGAGCCTGACTTGAGCCCGTCCTGCTCTGAGTGCCCCTCCAATGCCCTCTGGATGCCCCGACCCCAACCTCACTCACACTGTGGTTCTTCTTTTATTTTTAAATTCAGATAAAAAGCTGAAGATGTTTCTCAAAGCACAGGAGCCACAACCCTGTGGACTTTGGAATGGCTGGGCTCTCTGAGCTGCTGGGAGGGCAGCCTGCGCCATGCCGGGCTGTGGGCGCGGAAACCCCGCAGTCCCTGGCACCCGTGCGGATTTCAGCCGGGGTGGAATAGCGTGCGTTAATTATTGTAAAGAGGTGTCTTTAGGAGAAAATGGTTTTGAAATTCAGTTTAATTTCATTGTAATGTGCTGCAAACAGGAAGGGAGTATGTGTGTTTAATTGGCTCTCGGGGGTAAGGCCTGGAAGCCGCATGCCTTTGTCACAGGCCATTAGCGATGCCGCCTGCGTGATGAGAACCTGCAATCAGCCCACAGCTGCTGCTCCTGTGGGGAGAGCATGATATTAAATAGAAATCAGGAGAAATTAAACTTAACCCTTTCCCTGGCCAGCTCCTCCCAACACATGGATTCTGGCATAAGCTGCCAGGCACAGGGGACAGCTGGGGTTGGCTGGACACAGCCAGGGACGGCTGGGATGGCCGAAGCCAGTCCATAGCTCCTCAGCGGCCTCCTCCCGGTCAGGATGAGAGGAGAGGTTGCCGGCTTCGATGCCGACCACTCCTGCCTCCCCGACCTGCCTCCAAGCCTATAGCCTGCTTCTGCCTCAAGATTGCACAGGGGGCTTCAAGGCCATGGGGTCTCCGCTGCTCAGGGACATGTCAAAGGTCTCCCTCAGGTAGCTCTTCTGACAGCCAAAATGGTCTTTCCCGATGCTCTGACTCCACCTGCCCTCGCTCAGAGACACACGGGCACATTTGCTGCCTGGGCCAAGTGGAAAGCAGCACGGAGGTGGGTGCCCCTGCCAGGCAGGTGGTGGGAGCAGCAGCCCCTCCTGGGGGAACCAGGGTCAGGAGGGTGCAGTGGGGCAGGCCGGTGTCCCTGCATGGGTGGATGGGGTCTTAGGCTCTAGCCAGGGGAGGAAGTCTGATGACAAAGCTCCATAGAGAAGAGCCCTGGGTCCCGGGAAGACTACCAGGAGCTTGTGGGGAAGGATTGCAGGGGGAGCTGGGGATCCCAGGAGGACCACCAGGAGTTCTAAGGCAAGGACTGGGGGAAGGAGCCCTGGGTCCCTGGAGGATTACCAGGAGCTCATGGGGAAAGATGGGGAGAGGGGAGTGGGGGGCTGGAGAACACCCAGACAGAGACATCCTGCTCAGGGAGGGAGAAAGGAGCTGGGCCCAGGTGGCCCCATTCCCCAAGGCTGAGTGTCGGCCCTGTCACCTGGTCCCTCCATGCCCATGGGCACCACTGCCAGGCGCCGACTTGCTTGTAAGCCTGTCCAAGGTCACTTCTTCCGGGGCCCAGCCAGGGCTCCATGTGTCGCCCGGCATCCCCAGACCCTCTGGCTCTCAGCCATGCGGTGCTTACATCTGGGCCAGAAGGGTTAAAGGGACCTTGTGATTTAGTGGGACTTGCTGGCCTCAAGAAGCAGAAAATCAGAGGGGCAGCAGCCCCAGCCACCCAGGGTTGCCCTGTGGAGCCAGAGCTGGCCAGGGGGCACCATGGAGGCCCAGTAGGAACCGGCGGTATCACGGTTCTGGCCCACAGCCTCTCCATGTGGTAACGAGGTGGATGCTGAGCCCTAGGCTTGGTGGCACATTGGAGGTCGGATGGTGGCACCTGAGCTGTTCTTACAGCCATCCCCTCCTTCAGAGCAGGCACCTTTTCAGAAGCCCTAGGGCCTTTGTGTCCTTGGCCAAAACTCTCTGGCCGCCCTCCCTTCACAGGACACGGACCCTCTGTGGGACAAGGGAAGGGACACAGGCATCCTGGTGGGAACCAAGGCTGGCCTAGCTGGTGCAAGCCCCTGTGCCAAAGTTGCCAGCCAAGGTCAGAGGTGACCACAAGGAGGACAGGTGCAGAAGTGCCCTTACCCGCCCAGCCCCTTCCATCTGGCAGAGGGACCCACTGGGCCTCTCTCGTTGGCCGGGCTGTGTGGTGAAGCCTGTCTCTTCCCTCTGAGCCATGTGTGCATGCTGACAGCTCCTGAGAAGGCCATGTTTTGCTGCCCGCAGGTGCCAGGCTGACTGACAGGCCATGCTGAGGAGGGGCAGCCCCAACCCTCCTGCCAGATGCCCTTCCTTGCAGCCTGCGGGGCCACTGGGGCTCACAGGGCCTCACCAGGCCCACGAGACGGGCATCAGATGTATCTTAGCCTGGGTTCCCTAGAAAACGCATGAGGACTCTGGGCAAAGGGTGAGTGTTTTTCCATTGGTTTTTTTAAAACCAAAGTTATATACCCATGGTTTAAAGACCCAAGTAGTTTTAGCAGTTCAAGAACAAGGTCTACAACTGCGCCCCTTCCCCCAACCCGCCGGCTGTGGCTTCTGTGCCGTCCCTACATCCTGAGGACCCGCCCCTACATCCTGAGGACCCGCCACCTGCGGCTTCTGTGTGGTCTGCACGCCCTGGGGCCGTGGCACCGCCACCTCCAGACTCCCACAGGAGGCCCCTCCTCAGGCTCGGCCCGGCGCGGTCGTGTGCAGGGTCCGCACTGTTGAGACCTGGCATCCCCACTGAGAACTGAGCCCAGGAGACACTGCTGTTTTTTCTTTGTTTTCCAGAGTCAGGAAAGTTTCGATTTTCTTGGTCTAGGTGCCAGTTCCTCATGGGCTGGGCTGGTCTGCCACCAGTCTCCTTCCTCTTCACAGCCCTTCCTTCCCTCCTGCTGGGTCAGGGCTTCTGCCCCTGCCCGCAGTGTCCTCTTCCCTCCTTCACCCCCCAGCTCTGGGGGCTGCTTTCCTATGGGGCTTCCTGAGGCGAGAAGCGTAGGGTCAGTATTGGAGACTTGGGTAGCCCTGTGTCCTCGTATTGCCCTCAGCTTGCTTGCCGGTTTGGCTGGGTATGGGGTTCTGGGTTACAAGTCACTTCTGTATCGTTTTCTGGCCTCCAGAGTTGCTAGTGCCACAGCCATGTTGAATCCTGGCACTTGGTGACCCCTTCTTTTTAACATAAGGTGTCTCTTCTGTCTCCAGAGCCCTGAGCCCAGGTCACGGAGCCTCCAGGTGGGGACTGAGCCCAGACCGGGGAGCCTCCGGGTGAGGATTGCACCCAGGCCGGGGAGCTGGGTCTAGGCCATCTCTGGGACTCCCTCTGCCTTCAAGAAGCCTCTTCCACCCCAGGCCCACAGGGGAGACCTGGATGACTGGAGCCTCCAGTGTCCACGGGCACCGGAGCTTCCAGCACCTTCCCTCCTGCGGGGTGATGGCCAGTGCCTGCCTCAATGGAGGCCGCCTGCGCTGCTGCCCCTCTGAGCCTGTCTGTCCTCCTTGTAGCCACCTCCCCTGCCCAGGGGCAACTGGCGGAGCCTTTCCTGTAAGTTGGTTTCCAGCTGCCACTCTGTACCCACATGGGGGCACCTGTTCCAGGCTCGTGGGCAGGGGCCTTGGAGGCAGAGAGCAGAGCTCTCAGGGGCAGGAGCTCAGGCAGGGGCCTCGGGGTTCCCTTGGCACTTCCTCACCGACCAGGAGCCGAGCTTCAAACACATTTTGTCGCTAGCGTCATTGCATTTGGGAGCAAAAGTCCAACAGGCTGGGTCTGGGCCTCTCCACACCTTGTTTCCTGGGACAGAGCTTTGGGGGGCTGGTGTCGCTCCACATACAGGCTCAGGAACCAGATCTGCACAGCACAGGCACTGTTGTTACCTCGCGTGCGGGTCACGACGCCCCGGCCAGGAGTGCTTCCTCCTAGGCCCACAGACAAGGTCTTTCGCCGGGGGGACCAGGAGCCTCAGCACCGCACTCCACCCATACTTCCGGGGAGAGAATCTGAGGACTGGGAGATTTATTTTCAGTTACAGTGGAAGGCAGAGACGCGAAATAGCGCTGAATCCAAAAGCAGCTTATCAGTCCAGGTAAAGCAATGTGTTGACTGCTACGTTATATCTGTCAGAACAAAACTCCTTTAACGCGAGAGTCAGGTCGAGGAGATAGACAGCCCATTGGCAGCCAACTGTCATTCCAGAATCAATGCATTTTGATAACTATGTTGTTATAAAAAGTGGTGGTTATCGGCCGGGCACCATGGCTCACACCTGTAATCCCAGCACTTTGGGAGGCCAAGGCAGGCAGACCACCTGAAGTCAGGAGTTCAAGACCAGCCTGACCAACATGGTGACACCCTGTCTCTAAAAAGAAAAGTAAAGATAACTTAACTTGTTTGACCTGCATTTCACAATGATCAAGTGTGTCCTCTGTGCTCCGGGTCTGGACGGCCAGTCGCCCTGGAGCCGGTGAACCTTGTGGGTCACCCTCACTGCCACGGGGCCTCCTCCATGGTGTCCAGCCTGCCCTTGCTCGGCCGGGACTTTTTTAAAACCCTGGCTCCGATGCTTCTGAACCCTTGATAGCAGGGTCCAAGCCTGGAAGAACAAAACCAGCCACTCTTTCCCTGGGCAGGGGCACAGCAAGGTGGGTGAGACAGGTGCTGGGCAGTGTGGGAATGGGCAGGGAGGTGCCAGCCCTTGGGGCTGAGGCTGCTCTGCGCTGAGAAGCTAGAACAAAGCCTGACATGTTCCAAAGGCCAAGCTCAGGGCTGGGAGGGAAGCCGCGGGGCGGCCCCTGTGGGTGGAGGCGGCCAGGCCTCACAGACCAGGCACCAGTCAGGGGACGTAGACCAGAGGCACTGGGGCAGAGGGGCCGCGTGCACAGCAGGAGGGACCCTGAAGGGCCCCAGCCTAGAGGGGCCTTTGCGAGGAGGATGCCAGGAATGTCCAGGCAAAGGTGGCCAGGCCTGGGAGATGTACGTGCACTTGGTCTTTTTTCTGTGGGCAGTGAGCAGTCTCTCCCTACACCCAGAAGGAGCTGCAGGCAGAGTGACGATGGAGATTCTGACTCTGGAGGGCGGGGCTGGACCGCTGGTGCTTGTCGGGCTGAGAGCCGCACCACCCTCTGATGCCCAGGGTGGGAAAAAGATGCACGGCTGCCACCATCCACTGAGGCCCCGCACGCCACACACACCTGGGCACTGAGGGCCCCACACACCCGGGCACTGAGGCCCCTCACGCCACGCACACACCCGTGCACTGAGGCCCCGCACGCCACGCACACACCCGTGCACTGAGGCCCCGCACGCCCCGCACACACCCGAGCACTGATGACACACACACACACACACACACACACACACACACACACACACTCTCTCACTCTCTCTCTCTCTCTCTCTCTCTCTCTCTCTCTCTCTCTCTCTCTCGGGCACAGAAGCTCCCGTCAAAAATCCTCCCTGAGACAGGCGTCTGTCACAGAGACTGGTCTCTGACCTGCACTGATGGGCTTTGCCCGTAGCTGCCAGCGAGTCCCAGGCACAGCCCTTCCCCACAGGTGTGGCTGCACCTTCTCCAGCACAGAAGCCTGGGGGCCTGAGAATTGCACCATGCTGTATGCTGACCCCTGCGGTTCTGTCCTTCACGAGGCTCAGTGGAAACCCTGGGTGTAGCACAGTGGGCAAGCTGGGACCTGTGGTGACCCTGGGGTTGCAGGCCAGGCAGGGCTGTCACTGAGAAGCGGGACCCAGGGAACAGATGACTCCTGGGGATCTGAAGCCTGGAACCCAGGGAATGGATAACTCCCGGGGATCTGAAGCCTGGGGGCCGGGGAATGAATGACTCCTTGCACCCACCAGTCCTTCCTGAGCACTGGCTCCTAGAGAAGCATCTCAGAGCAGAGGCAGCCACGCCCAGGCAGGGGAAAGACCCCTGGACAAGGCCTACAGCAGGGTCGCTGGGCCTGACCGTGCCAGAAACAGCTCAGCCAGAGAGGATGGGCAGACAATGTCGCCACTCCTCAAAGATCTCAGCGCCCGGCCTCCCACCCCTGGGGATACACAGCCACACCTGCAGCCTGCAGACATACCCACACTTGCAGAGATACCCACACCTGCAGAGACACCCACCTGCAGACATACCCACACTTGTAGAGATACCCACACCTGCAGAGACACCCACCTGCAGACATACCCACACTTGTAGGGATACCCACACCTGCAGAGACACATCCATGCCTGCAGACATGCAGCCACGCCTGCAGAGACACCCACCTGCAGACATACCAACACTTGTAGAGATACCCACACCTGCAGAGACCTGAGATACACCCACAGACATCCATGCCTGCAGAGAGAGACACAGACACCTGCAGAGACGTAGGGGGCCTTGCAGTATGCAGAGAGGCCTGGTTGTGTGTGTAATCAGCCATTGATGGGCCTTTCCTGTGTTTGTAGCACTTATTCCTTGTATTCATAAACTTATTTTATGTGAATTTGTTCTTTAAAAAGTTGTTGCACAATCATAATCCAAAGCTGGCGTTGGTGTGACTTATCTCTTGATGGCCTCACTTAAAGGGCTGGTGCTCCTGGAGATTGGGAAGAAAATTGCTCCATAAACCAAAAAGCAAAAAACATATTTAAAAAAGACAGATTCACAGGAAATTAGGAATAGCACACAAGAGTTCCTTGTGCTGTCCCCCCAGTTTCTCCCAGTGTCAGCCCCATGCATGACTGTGCTGCAGCCTCAGCCCCGTGTGTAACTGTCCTGCGGCCCCGGCCCCGTGTGTGACTGTCCCGCGGCCCCGGCCCCGTGTGTGACTGTCCCGCGGCCTCGGCCCCGTGCGTAACTGTGTTACGGCCCCGGCCCCGTGCGTAACTGTCCCATGGCCCCGGCCGTGCGTGACTGTCCCGCGGCCCCGGCCCCGTGCGTAACTGTGTTGCGGCCCCGGCCCCGTGCGTAACTGTTGCGGCCCCGGCCCCGTGCGTGACTGTCCCGCGGCCCCGGCCCCGTGCGTGACTGTCCCTCGGCCCCGGCCCTGTGTGTAAGTGTGTTGCCGCTTTGGAACCAGGACAGGGCACTGGGCAGTCATGGGGTGTGGACAGCTTCCTGGGCTCTACACACAAGGCATGTGCCTGTGTGAGCTTAGCTCTCTGCCAACCCACTCCTGTGCAGACCTGCCATAGCTCACCCCGTGGCTGCCTCAAGTGGCCATCATGGCCTCACACCCCTCCCACTGCTACCCCGCACCCCGGTCTTCCTGTGACTTTGCAGGTAGGGAAGGTTCATAACTGCAGTCAGATGATGGAGCCTTTTAGGAATGGTCGCTTTCGTCAGCTGCTCTCTCTGGAGTTCCGTCTGGGCCGTTGCTGCTTCAGCGCTTTCCTGCCCGCCTCCGGCCCCCCATCAGTGCCTCTTCCTCCCCCATTCCCCAGTCAGCCTCTCCCCACCACATCAGCACCTCTTCCTCCCCCCCACTGTTCCCACACTGCAGCCCACTCCCCACAGCCTGTGTTCACACCTCAGAACTGGGGTCACACCCTTGGCTCAGGCAGCGTGGGCTGCTGGAGAGCAGAGAGATTGCAGCCGTGTCCGATGGCCCAGCCCTACTGGGAGCCTCTGTTGCCCACTGGCCCAGTGTGGGGTGTAGGTACAGTCTGGGGGTGACCCCTTCAGCACCGCCTGCGGACCTGGGATTCTATCTGTGTCCTGAGGACATGCACGCGCTGTCATGCTGTGATGACACTGGGCCCCCGGAGAGTTCCACTTAGAGCAGCCTGAGAGGGTGCTGGGCGTCCAGCCGCCTTGGGTGCAGGCAGTGTGGCCTCCAGCAGGACCAGAGCAGGCCAGCAGATCCATGCTGCACGGGGTCTCTGGGTGGTGCAGGCCAGTGGGGACCTGCCTCAGTAGCTGCGTGGGGGGCTCTGGGCACCCAGCAGTGTCCCAGGTGTCAGCAGCTGTGAGCAGGAGCAGCCTGGACGGGGTGGCTCCATGCAATTAAGAGATGCTGTTGGAAGACCGGTGGCTGTCTGGTCCAGAGGGGACACATGGAGCACGAGCCACAGGGGGCCCCACGGGACTGGGGACAGGCTTTGTCCACCCCTGCCCACAGCCCTCCCTGCACGCCCCTTTCCAGCCAGCCAGCCACCCAGTCAGGCTACCCCAGGGCCACAGCATGCTCACCTCTTGGTGGGGAGCCTTTCATTTCTTCTGCTTCCCGTCAGTACAGAGTTCCAGAGCTGGGGAGGGTCCTGCCTGAACGCCCAGCGCTCCACTCCATAAATGAGCCCGAAGTCCACCAGGGCACACCCATCCATCTTGTTTAATAGATTGAGGAGCGCACCGTGGGTCTCGAGGAGTGGCAAGGTGATGGATGAGGCCTTTATGCGTCTAGCAGCAGGATGTATAATGAAGTATTTATGATTTATTCCAGCTAATAACCCGTGTGGATTGTAGGGCGTGTGCGAGCAGACAGGTGAGGCCGCAGCACTGCTCTCACGCACTGCGTGCTCCCACGGCCTCGGGCACATACGTGTGCCTGTGCATGCTCACAGTCATGTGTCCCGTGCCCTCCCAAGCTGCACACACGCACCTTGTACTTATGTGCCGTGAGACAGCTTCGGGCCGGGAGTGCAGGCTCTGAGGCTGCGGCCGCTGTCCCGGGCTCCCCACCCTCGGTGGCTTGTGCTGTCTGTGTTGAGTTAAGCAGCAGGGAAGATCGGTTCCCAGCAGGAGGCTCCAGGAACTTCCCCGGGGACGAGCAGAGGCCATGGCTTTGCCTGAGGAAGAAAGTGTGGGGCAGCCCAGCCACTGTTCTAGGACCAGCGTGGTCAGGTGTGGCGGGCAGGAGGTGGGCATCAGCGGAGGCCCCGGGAACCAGGAAAGGCCTGTCCTCCTTGGCACCAGCGCCTCCCTGTGGGCCTCAGTGTGGGCTTCGGAGCCCCTCCTGTCGAGAGGAGCTGGACAGTCACTGCTGGACCCCAGCAGGGTGGGGTGTTGAGAGGTGTCTGGTTCACTTGTCTTACTGAATATTTGACCTGGATTCTTTTTTGGGCCTGAGAGAAACAGCACCAGGCCCTGGTGGGCCTCAGCCCCTCCCCCAGAGCCTGCTGGCATGAGGGGCGGCCCCTGTGGGCTGCTGTCATGGGAGGCCATCTGGGGCCTTACAGCAGCAGCACAGCCAGGAGGCCCAGCACACCCTGGCACCCGTCCTGAGCCAGAGTCACCCGGCACACCCCGATGCCCGTCCTGAGCGAGGGTCACCCGGCACACCATGATGGCCGTCCAGAGCAAGGCTCACCCGGCACACCCCGATGCCCGTCCTGAGCGAGGGTCACCCGGCACACCGTGATGGCCCGCCTGAGCGAGGGTCACCCGGCACACCCCGATGGCCATCCTGAGCGAGGCTCACCCCGGCACACCCCAATACCCGTCCTGAGCGAGAGTCACTGGGCACACCCCGATGCCCGTCCTGAGCGAGAGTCACCCGGCACACCCTGATGGCCATCCTGAGCGAGGGTCACCCCGCACACCCTGATGCCTGTCCTGAGCGAGAGTCACCCAGCACACCCTGATGGCCATCCCGAGCGAGGCTCACCCCGCACACCCTGATGGCGGTCCTGAGCGAGAGTCACCTAGCACACCCTGATGCCCGTCCCGAGCGAGAGTCACCCAGCACACCCTGATGGCCATCCTGAGCGAGGCTCACCCTGCACACCCTGATGCCCGTCCCGAGCGAGGGTCAGAGCTTCAGATCCTGTGCTTGGTGTTTAGAAAAGGCCACACATCCCACCCGTGACCGGTGGTTACCGACCACAGTGACAAAGGGGCTGAGCTGACTTGCTAACGCAGGGTGTTTGCAGCCCACAGCCCAGCAGTGCTTCTGCCACCTCCTGTTCCGAGCAGGCTCTGGGCCCACTGCTCACCTGCCCCTGGAGGAGGTACATACAGCTGAGGGTGGGGAGGGGCAGACCCCATGCCGTGGCACAGTCCCACCTTGGGGTGCACGTTGTGAGCTTCAGGAATGTGGGCTTACCTGGCGTGGCTGCCTCTGTGTTGCGGTTGCCATGGGGGGTAACCAGAGCCCCCTTTCCTCAGGGGACACCGTGGTGTTTAAGGACGGCCAGTACTGGATCCGAGGCCGGACCTCGGTGGACATCATCAAGACCGGAGGCTACAAGGTCAGCGCCCTGGAGGTGGAGCGCCACCTGCTGGCCCACCCCAGCATCACAGGTGCGGGGCCAGATTTGCACCGGGGAGGCTGGGCTAGACGGGTGCTGCCTTCCACAGCTGCGTTTCAGAGGATTGCGGATGAGGCAGAGGTCCTTGTGATGCTCGCTTCTGCTCCCTGCCCCGGCCGGGGCACACAGGGCTGCTGGGGCACAGCCTGATCCGTGTTGGAGCTGCCGCCCACGTGCCCACCAGGGCTCCCAGGCCTGGTCGGGTGCAGCTGGCATCTGCATGATGCCCCTGCGGGAGGGCAGTAGGGGGAGTGCAGAGAGCCAGGAGTGGGAAGGCGGAGGCTGCGTGTGCCCAGCGCCAGATCCACCGTGGGGAGCCCGCCCACACTCCTGTCCCTGCAGGACCAGCCGGCTCCAGGGCTGCGGCCCGACAGAGCACTCCCTGTGCATCCAGGCACTCTTCAGCCTGTGAGTGGCACTGAGGCGTTCCCTTGTCCCCATACTGTTCTTCTGTCTGCAGATGTGGCCGTTATTGGAGTTCCGGACATGACGTGGGGCCAGCGGGTCGTTGCTGTGGTGGCTGTTGGAGAACACTCACTGTCCCACAGGGAGCTTGAAGAGTGGGCCAGGTAGGGCTGTGCGGGGCAGGCGGGGGCACCTGTGGGGGCTTGGTCCGGGGGTGAGGGCAGCCCTAGCTCTTGCCTCGTTCAGCGGTTCCAAGCCCTTGTCCTGGGTCCAAGAAGTATGAGGTTACACTGACAGTTTGATGGGTGAGGAGGGTGGATAAGAATCTTCCTGAGCGATGAATTTTACTGAGTTCTCAGCAGAGAGAGGACGTGAGGGTGGTTGGCCACACAGAGTTGTGGGTGTGGCTGGGTCCACGGCTTTTTTGGGGCGCAGAATGGGGAGGGGCACGCTGTAGGTGACATTGGAAAAGGACATTTGGTTGGTTAAAAAGCATTACTCAGAAAGAAACAGTTGGCAAAGAGTGGGCAAACAGGAGTAGAAGTTCTTGCTCTGGGCTGCAGGTTCCAGGCTGTGTTTGGCTTGAAGATTGGTTTCAGTGGGGCCCGCCCTGTCCATCTGGGCATTTGCCTGCCTCCTGTTGCTGTCTTAAAGAGCTCCCCGAGGCAGTAACTTGTAAGAAAAGAGGTTTAATTGGCTCCCAGTTGCGCAGGCTGTAAGGAAGCATGGCTGGGGAGGCCTCAGGAGACTTCCGGCACGGTGGAAGGTGAGGCGGAAGCCAGCACGTCCCGGGTGGAGCAGGACGAAGAGCTCACCTAGGGTAGATTCCTTCAGAACAGACATTTGTCTCTGTTCTGCTCCCTCTCCGTTCACACCCTCCCTGCCTCCACCCTGACTCGCCTTCTCCTGAGCACTGAAGGGAGTTTTGGCTCGTCAGCTGTGACTCCACAAAGAGCAGGAACCCTTGCTCATCAGGCAGCCCAGAGGCCGGGTGTGCAGAGCACAGCTGGAGCACTCCT